TTAATGGTTATTCTCACCTCCTTTCAACAAACAGTTGCCCTCATACCTTTTTGTATGCTTACAGTTCTTCGAGGATGTTCTTTTTCTTTTTTTTAAGATCGGCACCTGAGCTAACAACTGTTGCCAATCTTTTTTTTTTTTTTCTGCTTTCTCTCCCCAAATCCCCCTGGCATATAGTTGTATATCTTAGTTGCAGGTCCTTCTAGTTGTGGCATGTGGGATGCTGCCTCAATGTGGCCTGACGAGTGGTGCCATGTCCGCACCCAGGATCTGAACCAGTGAAACCCTGGGCCACCACAGTAGAGCGCATGAACTTAACCACTCGGCCACCGGGCCGGCCCCAGGGATGCTCTTGACATTGTTTGTATTTATGAAGGAGAGGGGCTGGAGAGCCTAAAGACAGTGTGACTGACCAGACACTAATTCCTCGCAGCCTTACATGCAGGGAGGAGCTAGTCTCTCAAGAAAGCCACAAACCATCCCTCCTGGTGCTGATGTTCTGTGCAGTCTGAGTTTTGGCTGGCCCTGAGTAGCCAAAAGAATGCAGCTGAAGGGATGCTGTGTGATTTCCCAGGCTAAGACGTAAGACGGCTTAGAACTTCTACCTTGATCTCTTATAACACTTTCTCTGAGGGAAGCCGGCTGCCATGCAAGAAGTCCAACAACCCAGGGACCAGTAAGCTGTGAAGAAGCCCAGGCTAGCCACATGGGAGGTCACATGGAAAAAAACAATGCCAGGCAGCCCTCAGCCCGGGTGCCAAACATGTGAGGGAAGGAGCCGTGTGGGATGTTAGAGGCCCAGCAGACACCATAAGGAAAAGAACTGAGGGCCCAGACACAGGGCCCCAGCCAAGCCATGACAACACCTCCAGCCAACTGAGTTGTTCCAGCGAAGGCACCAGACATCAAGGGGCAGAGAGGAGCTGTGGCCCACCTCAATCCCTGACCCAGGGAATCATGAGCACATAAAATGAGTGCTCTTTCATGCCACGAAGTTTGAGGGTGGTTTGTTACACAGCAACAAATAAGCAGAAAAATGTAAATATCATTGGTGACCTTCATTAAAAAGATGAGTCCCCTTGGACTGCAGTTGTAAAGTGACTATACAGTATGATTCAGAGAGCCTTTGCTTGTCGCAGTGAGAAAGAAAGAATGCACCAGTTCAGATTTCCTTGGAAAGCTTTTAAAATAAATCTGACCAATCTAATTAATTCCAAAAGCTCTTGAAAATACTGAGAGGCCACTATATTATTATGAGCACACTCTAGTTTGAAATACTGGTCTCCCTGCCTCAGCCCTCAGGTCATAGCACGAATACCACTTGTTCCAGAAGTCTTCCGAACCCCAGGTCTTTTTGATCCCCTCCTGTGGGCACCTGCAGCAGCCTCCATCCCAGCTCTACCACACGAGATTGCACTGCCTGTTTATCTGTGCGATTCCTACCAGACATGAGGCTAGGGGTTACCCATCATCTAAACAGTACATGCCTATGGAGTCACTCAAAGTCTGATTCAACGGAAAGAAAGAAAGAGGAATAAGGAAGGGAGGAAAGAAAGAAGAGAATGAGGGGGTAGAAGAAAGGAAAGAGAGCTAAAGGAAAAAAGGAAGAAAGGGAGGGAAGGAAAGAAACATTCAACGAGGGGCCAGCCTGGTGGCATAGTGGTTAAGTTCGTGCCCTCCACTTAAGTGGCCTGGGGCTCACAGGTTCGGATCCAAGGCATAGACTTAGCACTGCTCATGAAGCCACCCTGTGGTGGCATCCCACATAAAATAGAGGAAGACTGGCACCCGTGTTGGCTCAGTGACAGTCTTCCTCAAGCAAAAAGAGGAAAATTGGCAACAGATCTTAGCTCAGGGCCAATCTTCCTCACCAAAAAAAAGAAAGAAAGAAAGAAAGAAAGAAAGGAAAAAGATTTAATGAAAAAGTAACTATGGTAGCAACACACACAGTGAGAAACAGAAAAAGGGCTAGGAAGAGCTTCAACAAGTCCAGGCGGGACTAACTCAGGCTGGAGTCCCAACTCTACAACTGGGTAGCTATGTGAAATTCAGACTCAGTGTCCTGAAAGTGGGGACACCAATTAATAAGGATACATTCAATGACATTATTATTTAATTCTACTTTAAAATTTAAGGCAAGAAAGTAATCAATACTGAGAAAGAAACCTTTAGCTTACAATAATAATGACAGCTAATACTCACTGAAGATATGACCCTCACAACACTAAGGCAGATGACTTTGCAGATGAAGAAAATAAGAGACAGAGGGTGCCCAGACAGAAGCTGGTAGAACCAGGATTAGAATCTAGGCAGTCTGCCAACTGAGTCTGTGCTCTTGTCCACCACGCTCTGCTGCTGCAGTCTGAGAACAAGTGAGTTCTCAGGGACTGTTCCACCATCGCAGCACAAACACCCTATCAGCAAACGTGAAAATGGCCCGCTGGACCAACCTGGGCGCTTCACTTCCATCTTTTCCTGGTATTCATGAACAAGAATGCTGGCAAGACACAATCCACCAGACGGCAAACACAGGAAGCTACTTTCCAATATACACATGACTGAGACACTTCAAACTAAAAACTCTAGAGATTCTGTGTGTATTTCCTCAACCGTAAACTGAATACTACATAGGACCACACCTCACTGGGGCATGATGATATTTAAAAGATAGCTGTTATTTAAGGAGCTAAGAGCAGTGCTTAGCACAGAATAAACACTCAATAACTGTTAGTGATAACAGGATAAATGCTGCTACAAACGACACAGCAGCCATTTAAAAGAACAGAACGGGTTATTCTTTGACATAAAAAGTTCACAAAACATTAAATGAAAAAAGGAGCTGGTTATAAAACAGTAAATATAGTATGGCAATATAAAAATATGCAAGCAAAGAGAGTACAAGGCAAAGATGGTAAAAGATGTTACTTCTGCATATTGGGTCTATGAGTATTTTTATTTCTTATCTGTATATTCTAAATTTCCTACAACAAATATGTAATCTTTTGCAATAAGAAAAAGAATACGTTATTAAGGATTTTGGTGTCCTGAGTCTGCTACTAGACAGCTACAAGTCAAAAGGTTCAAGGGCATTCACTTCTTCACCAGAAAAATGGCAGGAGCTGAAGCAGGTGGTCTCTGAGACTCCTTCCAGATGGAAAGTTCTCTAATTTTATGAAATAAACAATGAAAAGAAGTTTTGGAGGAAAAGAGACAACACTCCTCTTCCTTCTATCTCCCACACAGCCCAGAAGGACAGGAGGAACCCAACGAACATCTGGTGACCGTTTTTCTGACTGATTAGTGAAAGACAGTCCAGTCAACTCAAGCACTGCAATCAGGCAAGCTTAACCCCTGCTGCGTGTCCTAAGAAAAGGTCTAAACGGAGCACCAGGAGAACCAGTTCTAAACACAGCCCTGCTGCTATCTCGAGCCTTCTGGCCTTAAAGAAGTTGGTCTAAAACCCTGGGCCTCAGTTCCTCTATTTATACAACGGGGGGGACCTGTGCCGTCAGCTCCGGTTCTAAAACTGTGTGAACCAACAAGCAAAGAAAAAGCAGACATACTATCAGCATCCTCTCACTGTACCGCCACAAAGTAAATATGTATTAACTAATACTGATTCAGTAGATGCTGCTTCACTGATACTATTTTAGATTAAAAAAACCTTCTGTAAGCATGTGAGAAATTTCTTTGAGAAAAATGGATGAAGATTGATTTTAAAGATGATAAATTACAATGGAAAGCTATTAATTTCCAAAGGGTTACCAGTAAGTACAGGCCACAGGTCAACAACCTACAACAAACAAAGTTTTAAAAGAAAGTAAAAAATAATTTCCCTGTGGAAAAGAATGCTGCTTAGGAATTCCTCCTTGGATAAGCTTTCACTCAAGCAAATAAACACAATAAAATCCACTTCTCTTGCCCTCCTCTTTTCTTGAGGAAGGGCTATGACAGGCACACAGAGACCAATGTGTGGAAGAAATCTGTGGGAGCGGGAACCTGGCGAAAGAGAGGAAGAGCACTGCTAAACAAAGGGCGAAACGGGAATGAGCTTGACCTCAGTAGGGAGAACACGACATGGGGAAATTTCTCACATGAGATAAAGAATGAAATCCCTATCTTGTGCAGTAATAGATAGATGAATTCCAGGAAGCTGTAAGATCAGTTTTAGGACAACCGTTTGCTGAAACTAACAGGGAAAGGCTAAACCACAAGGCTTCAGTGACCTGATTTTCCACAACAGGAAGCAGGGTACAAGAAGGCAGCAGGTCAGCACAATGCAATTCATCTACCTGAGAAAATAACAGCTGTGACATGCTAGGAGGAGGCAGAAACGAAAGGAGAGAACTCAGCTTCTGGGAGCCAAACACTATCTGGGCTTTGGAACTCTAAATAAAGAGAAAAGTAGAATACAGGTTCTGTCCATGGTTATAAGGTGTGGGGTACCGTGTAGGCAGCGGGCTGATTAAGAAAGAGGACCTTAGCCACTAAGGCCAGCATCACAGTCATCAGCAAAGAGCACAGGTCTCGGGCTGCCTCAGGAATCCTGGGGAAGAAAGCCTGGATCTGCCTCTCCCAAAGTGTCCAACACATCATGTCTGGAAGACAGAATCTAGAAACTTCAGCCTAAGAGATTCAAAGAATAAAAGAAAGCCCACACCAGTAGCCATCCTGGAGGTGTACATTGAGTCACCCACATTTGGCTTCTTCCACATCCTAAAAGGAATATAAACGCCTCACACCGCGACTTTAACAGTTACTCAGGACAAACCTTTCTATCTCTGGAGAATTATTTTCTCCTTTATTAACAATACTGCTAATGGTGGTAATTCAAAAATCAAAAAATAAAATTTAAAAACAGTATTAAGACCATTTTTAAAATAAAAGGAATAACTAACATTATCTTGGAAAGGATCAATCAGTAGCTACACATTATACAAAGATTACGTACCGTAAGTGCCAGGCCCTCTCGTGTGTTTCTTTTTTAGTACAAGACTTACCCTTCAAATTAGATCGACCGGCAGGCCTCCCTACATTATTCCTCTGGTGTTTGGTGGACATGCGTTTCATCTGTCGAGGTGTGCTGGGGGGAGAGGTGCCATAAAGGTTCTCTGTACTCGTTTCATCCGGAAAATCCTCTGGATCAGATTCAGAATTCTTGCAAGCTGAATCTCCCAGTGTGCACTCTTGCCTGTGAAAGACAATAAGCAGAGAGGATATTCAGTAACTGTCAGGTGATTTCAAATTTAAACTACTTTTAATTTCTTTTAAGAACTCTTTGTAAAACTTTTCTGTGGATCTTTCTCCTCTATTTGCACTTGTGGAAACTCACAAGGAGAACTTCTGTCTCACTAAAGGGATAAGGCCCGTGCCTGCTGCTGCTCTGACAGCGAACAACAAGGAGTACCAGACGGGAGGACGGATGTGCAGTTTCTGCTCTTCGTAGAATTCTTTCTAACATAAACGAAGTTTAAAACCAAAAACTTACGGATGAAGGGAAAAAAGCGCAAAGGACCAGAAGATTCAAATCAGACAGAACTAAGTACGTATTTGTGTGCTAGCCACTGGCCAGCTTAATTGATGAGTGGGCAAATACAGCCCTGCCCTGACTTCAGAGCCTGGCTCCTTTCTCTTTTCAAAGCACACACAGAACAGAAAGCACAGGAACACTTTACTGTGGCCCGAGGAGCAAAGCAGAGAGCAGTGATAACACACAGTAGGTCAACTTTTCTATGTTCTCTGACAAACACTACAGTACAGACCTCAGGAGCGGGGTGGGGGAGAAGGACGCTATGGAAGAAGGAAAAGGGATTCCTTTCTATTCACCTTCAAAACGCAGGTCCTCATTACCTTGTTCTCTAGCAAGACTTCACGCAATTCTCTCCCCAGCTGACTTCTCAAATGATAGCACTACTTTGATAAAGTTTTATTTTTGCAATGCTAACAAAATAAAATTTAATGGTACACACTGAGAACAAATATAATTCCAAAACAGCAAACTAGAGGGCACCAATCATGGAGTTCCTTTCAAATACGTCCCACCACAGTCTACCCTATTCTGAATATTCTTTATAAAATATGTTTTATAATCGTAACTCCAAACTACATCTAAGATACAATCAGCTTTCTGCCAGTTTTCTTCCTGATAATTTATAACCTGATAGAAAATCAAAGCTACTGCAAAATCATGAGGAAAAAAGAAAAACCACTCTAAAATGTCTGATACCATTATTAATGAATTGGACTGACAAATAAAACTTCAGAAAATAAATTACCTTTCACAAAAATAAAGATGATGGAGAACTATACAAATTTGCAGCACTGAAATCTGTAAAGAATGCCTTTGACAGGCCAAAACCTATTTTTTAAGAAGACAAAAGCAGTCCAGATATTGTGAGTACACACGCTCCCACACATGTACACCCACAGTAAGACACACAAGTGAGATGACCTAAAAGCTAACTAAAACGAATTTAATCATGAGCAGATTTAGAAGCAAGTTTTAAATGTACCTATTCCTTTGTAGGAATAAATACTGTATATGAATAAATAAACTACATTTTTAAGTCTCACAAAGTCATATAACAAATAATATAACTTACAGATTAGCTTGAAATCCCCTACACCCATTTCTTCTACACTCACGGCAAAATAGTTGATTCAGCTAATGAAGAGACATGGCTATAAATGACAAGGCTGCTAATCTTATTTCCATATGTTTTGGTGGTTACTAGGACAGGCTTTGGAACAAGTGACAGCACAGGCTTTGTGGTGTGAGGGACTCAGGTTCAAATCCTGGCTGTGATGGTTACTAGCTGTGTGGGCCTAGGCCAAATTATTTAAAATCTCCATATTGCCCTTTTACAAAGTAAGAACAATAAATACTCAGACTCCATATGTTTAAGGATTAAATCCAATAATGCATGCTTAACAAAAGAGTACTAATAGAGTCAGGGTTCACCAAAGGGGTGATACCCTCATATGACAGGCCTCGGAAGGCGCTGTGCTCGCTCACCACCCACTGAGAGAAGCTTAGTCCTGGAGCATCTGCTTAACATTAGGAGAGAAGTCTGCAGGTGAGCTCGGTGGGTACAGGACAGGAAGCCATTTTAATACTTTTAACACCTTCCAAATTCTTAGAAATTCAATATTATAACTTTTTAAAAATTTCCCTACTAAGATAAAGTCAATGGTAAGGAAGGACTTTGTATATACTACTTTTGTATATCCAATAGTTTCTAGTAGAGTGCTCAAAACAATTCAGTGCTTTTCCACAATAATATAATTCATGTGTTAGAATGATAATCACCAGAAAACTATAGCACAAACATTTAGTCAGTTAAATACACTGAGGCCAGGCAGCACAGAATACCAGGACAAAGAGAAAAATGGAGTCAGATATGACAGAGCAAACACGACCTCGTTCAGAACACGCCCTCTGCGGTGAGGAGGACCGTGAACTCGGGAGGCAGAGTGCTAAGGCCGAGGCCAAGGCTTACTGGATGGGTGACTGCATGCACGACTTGTTCTTTCTAAGACCAAGAAGAAGACGAATTTTGCATTCATAAGGTCAACATTCTAAAATATTTCAGGAAATTCAGTTGTGAAGATTCAAAAAAAAAAATAATGGAAATAAAGGGCTATACAAAAAATATTAAAATACCAACCAGGCATATAAAATGGTATATTTTACTAATATCCATCAGTACTGTGTAGATGAGAGAATTAATGACATGCAAAGTAAAAGTGGAAGAGGATTTTCTGAATAGGGCCTGAAAATGTCCAAACTTGAAGGAGCCAAGTGTCCAATGGCAAGCCCCCTACCCTGAGGACAGAGCCAGGATCTCAGCACAGGAGAGTTTATTTTTTAAATAAGTACCCTCCTCTGACCTACAAAGGAACAATTCCTGTGCTTCAGCAGATAGAAGGAGTCTAAGAAAGCACATGTAATAAAAATGTTGAGCCAGCCCTAATGGCCTGGTGGATGAGGTTCGGCACCTTCTGCTTCCGTGGCCCAGGTTCGGTTCCTAGGTAGAGAACCACACCACTTGTCTGTCAGTAGACATGCTGTGGTGGCAGTTCACACAGAAGAACTAGAGGGACACACAACTAAAATATACAACTACGTACCGGGGCTTTGGGGAGGAAAAAATAAATAAAGAGGAAGATTGGCAGTAGATGTTAGCTCAGGGAGAACCCTTCCCAGCAAAAACATACGTTAACTTTTATCAAGAAGTTCATTTGGGGAAACAGAAAAAGATACTTGTATTGTACTGTCCTCCAACTGCAGACGAGTTATTTCTCTACACATGAAAAAATTCATTTGGCTGCACTCTCCAAATAAAAGTAGAAGAATAAATCCCTGTGATCATTCCACAGAAGCTGAAGATCTCTTGTTTTCACACCTATATCTACTGCAAAACAAAAAGTCATCTATCTTAGCCTTTACTATTTAATTATTTTAAAAGGAAACATAATCACATGAAAGTGAAGATGAACACTGCCATAAACAATATATTAAAATAAGATAAAACATAATACATTTCATCCCCCCTGATCATTATGCATCATGGAAAATGAGGTAGGAAAAATGTCATGTGGTGCTGCCAGCCACTATATTTATAATTCATAATTAAAATAAACTTTAGGACAGGCATTACACAAAAGTGAAACTATGCATTTAATACTTTCTTAGGATTTACTTAACTCAGTCAAGATGGTATTCATACTTGCTGGAAATGTCTTTGGTTTACATTCCATCCAAGTAACTTAGGAACTTAATTACACGTCAGAACAAAGTTCAACGTTATTTAAAGGAATTAAAAAAAAAGGTCTAGTATCCAAGAAATAAAATTCACAGTGTCTGTCATCTTATCAAAAACTATCAAAGAAACAGGAAAATATGAACTAACCCAGGAGAAAAATCAGTAGAAACAGACAAGAAATGACTCAAATGGAATTTCTAGAGATGAAAAATATACCTGAAATGAAAAATACTCTGGATGGGATTACAAGCAGATTAGACACAGCAGAAGAAAAGATCAGTGAACTTGAAGATAACAACAGAAACTATCCAAAATTAATCAGAGAAAAAGATTGTGGAAAAAAAGAAGAAGAACAGAGCATCAGGAACCTGTGGGACAATATCAAGCAGTGTAACATATGTGTTACTGGAGTCCAAAACAAGGAAAGGGAGGCACAGAAAAAAATCTTTGAAGAAATAAAGGCTGAAAATTTTCCAAATTTGAAAAAAACATAAGCTCACAGATCCAAGTAATTCAGCAAACTCCAAGCAGAACTACGAGAAAACTACCAGTTTTTGATTACGCACATCATAATGAAATTGCTGAAAACCAGTGATAAAGAGAAAAATCTTAAAAGCAGCCAGAGCAAAAAACCCTTAGTTTGGGGGCTAAGAAGCAATACATAAAGGGAGGTGGGAGGGGAAATCAAGCAACTTTATTCCTTTTTTCCTTAAAAAAATTTATATACTAAATCTAGGAACATAAATACTAGTGGTAAGCTCAAAAGAACTTGCATCATTTCAATTAACTAACCAAAAGCATCCCAAACCCCATTTTGTATTAGCTCATGTGAGATGAGCTAATGCGGTCAGTTGACTGGTTCACACTGTTTCCATGGATACCAATTATTTTGGATGAGGAAAGTCGTACAAGGTCTACACCAGTTGCCCTGAAACATTTGCCTTATTTGTGTTTAAAAACATACAAATGTAAAATGTCTTTCTTGTACTAAACTTCTGACAGTCACATAAAACAGTGCTTCACTCTTTTAACATAAAACTTTGCTAAAGTACTGTTCACCTGACCTGGAATCTGGTCAAAGAAAACTATGTCTTGAACTCAATCCAAGGGGCTTTAGTGCAGTTTTTAAATGAAAGATGTGTGGAAGACAAGACAAAACTTCAAGTAACTCGGGGTTAAATAGTTCTGCTCTGACATAGTAGGTAAACCACATGGTGCCTGAAATAGCTCATCTATAAAATGATGAAGCTGGATTAGATGAGTTCGAAAACATCTGCGGTTTCGCAAAAGCCCTAAAAAAAAAAACTTCATTAAAAGTTCTTTAGCTAAGTCCTTAGAAATAAAATATTTTATTCACTTCTGAAGTACAGTTCTCACCTGTGTGAGGTTCTCTCCACCACCTCCGCTTCCCCGCGAACCTCTTCTCTATTAAGTAATAACTAAAGGGAGACTTCTGCTATTGAGGGCTAAGGAGGGAGGGGGAGGCAGGCAGAGGAAGTGGATTTTTTGAGTTTCTTTTTTTAAGAACTTGTATAGTTTGCTTGGCCTGCAGTAAAAACCAAAGGGAGCTCAGCTAAGTTTGAGGTTGCATGTTGGTATTGTAAGGGCCAATTAATTAATACGGTAGTTGATCTTTATTATCAGCCTATAATTAAACATTTATCAGCTAACTTTCAGGTGAGCTCTTGTCAAACCTCAAGCTTATCCAACATTCACTATTTAACATTTCCTTTTATTCACAGTGCAGGGTCTTTGCAAACCTAGTGAGTCTTGATTATTTTTCAGGATAGACATGCAAGACTTTTTTGTTTTTTAACTAAAATTCATTTTTTTAACAGAAGTAGTTTGGTTTGGTTTGGTTTGGTGAGGAAGATCGGCCCTGAGCTAACATCTGCTGCAAATCTTCCTCTTTTTGCTTGGGGAAGACTGTCACTGACCTAACATCTGTGTCAATCTTCCTCTATTTTATATGTGGGATGCCACCACAACATGGCTTGACAAGCAGTGCTGGGTCCACACCCAGGATCAGAACCCACAAACCCTGGGCTGCCAAAGCAGAGCGTGTGAACTTGACCACTACACCACAGGGTCAGCCCCCAGAAGCAGATATTTTTTAAAATACTTCTTATGGAAATGAACAAGAAACTATCCCCCATAAGTAAACTTGAAGCTCCATGAGGGCAGAGACCTTGTCTGTCTTCTTTACCACCGTTTCCCCAGCGTCTAGAACAGCGCCCGGTATGGATTATGTCCCAAGAACTATCTGCTGAATAAATGAATTTATGAGGTAAATAATTTTACCCTTGATAGTTTAGACTTAATCATTACCTAAATTCTACTAGAATATAGTTGCATTTAATTATTTGAAGAATGTAATTTTTTAAAAGTTACAAGAATTAAAGATTGTTGTTTTCTGACAATAAAGTTAAGTGATACTGTACCCCTAGGTGCCAAGAAGACCGTCTACGGACCCCAATGACAGCAGTGGAGTATGGTGTAAGGAATAATGATGGGAATCAGATAATGTGGGCTGAAATCCCTACATCCCCACGCTTACTAGTTTGAATACATCTTAATCAAATTATTATAAGTTTGCTTGTAAACACTTTCATTTATTGGACGCCTTCTTATCAAATGTCACTGGGACTTGTGGTTAGCCATTAATTTTAAAAATATATACTAAAAACATTAAAAATAAAACACGCAAATAAAGAAAGGAAACATCCGTGGTGGCTTTTCTTGGAGGCCCTCCATGAACCTGGCCTCCCAGTACTCACGCCCTTGCGTGACTACCTCCTCTTGAATCTGGGATGACCCAGTAACCTGCTTTAACCAATGGAATGTAGCAAAAGTGACCCTGGGCGAGGTCTGGGCCTGAACCTTAAGAAGGCCACCTCTGTACTCCCAGGGAAGCCAGCCGCCGTGTCAGCAGTCCAACCTCCCTGAGATGCCACGGTCTTGGAAGCCCACCCTAACCAGGAAGGGAGGCTGCATGAAGGAGAAGCTAGTTAGGTCAAAGTCTTGCTGAGCTCCCAGCTGACAGTCAGCACGAACTTGCCAGCCTGTGAGTAAGGCTATTTTGGACCTTCTAGCTGTCCCTGAGCCCAAGCCAACAGCATGAGAAGCAGAAGAACCACTCAATATCGTTAACAGATAAAAAATGGTTTTTATTTGAAGCCATTCAGATTTAGTATGGTTTGTTAAATTGTAAGAGATAACTCTCACACACACAAAACTGAAACATTCTGTTTTCACTTTAAGCCCAAGAATGAGTTTAAATCCTACTGTGATGAGGGCCACAGCCTTGCCTCTTAGTGTGGCTCCCTGAGAGAAGTCACAAGTCGACTTCGTCACATACACCACAACCAAAGTGCACCATCTGCAATCCCCACTCTCTTTTAAGACTTCTTGGGAGGAATGCTTCTGGATTTTCATGATTTTCCTTTCTAAACTTTAACAGTTCTCTCTTATACCTAATTTGATAGCAATTTTCTTTTTGTGACCTATCTTGAGAATTTCCAAAGCATTCCTAATTAGTTTATGTAGAAACTACAATTCTCTTTTGCATTCACATTTCCTATATTTGTATAATAATTTACTAAACTTGGCAATTAACAATAAAATGTACAATAGATTTAGGAACAAACCAGGAACTCTTGATAAGCATATAGTTCAGTTAGTGGGAACAAAATCGCAGGCATTCTGGAGAGCAGCCTATGAGCAGTAAGCATTCGTGATGCTGTGAGCAGCAGTCGGGATGTGTTATAGAAGGAATGGATAGGACTAGGTCTTGGAAAGGGATAGGCAGAGTAGATAAGGCCTGCTGACTTAGAGCTTCTGGTAAAAGTCTTTTAGGGGACAGCCCAGTGGTGTAGTGGTTAAGTTCACCCTCTCTGCTTCAGAGGCCCCGGGTTGGCAGGTTCGGATCCCAGGTGTGGAGCTATACACCGCTCATCAAGCCGTGCTGTGGTGGCATGCCATATAAAAAATAGAGGAAGAGTGCCACAGATGTTAGCTGTGGGCCAATCTTCCTCACCAAAAAAAAGGTCTTTTATTTCACTCATAGATTTATACAAAGAATACTTTATCTGTCCTGAACTAAGTAGAACAAATAAGAAACATAAAGATAGAAAACAAATATATATAAAAAAAAAAATCACCCCATACAGATAAACTTTGCTCATCATTAGAAATAAAAATAATTATAAGCTGTCTAAAAAATATTTTCAGATGAAGGCTTTCAGAAAATAAACTCTTATAAAATCATATAAACAAATACAACAAAATGCTTTAAAGACTTCATATTATTATCTTTCACTCTGCTTAACCAGAACACTATCCAAAAAGAGCTAGAACAAAAAAGAGAGAGAGAGAAGTGACAGATGAAAGACAAATGTGATTATTTCCCTTATTTCTGCAATTCTGCTGCAAACAGTTGAGTATTTAATAACAAGAGCACAAAGAATAAGACATTTTTCAGGTGTGCCTTCTTATTTTTACCAGATCCAAAAAGTGTGAGTATATCTATATCTATATCTTTAGCCAAAGCTTTGCAAATCAATACTCCATCGTATGTGTACAGACTGGCAAGGAGACAATCAAAACAGAATGAAAACCCTTCTCAGATACACCTGGTTGTACAGGGGAAGTGACTCAGAGAACACAGGTGGAGGGTGTCCTTTCAATACAAGAAGTGAAAATAAGTGCCACTTCAGTCTCGTGGTGGATGCATTTTACAATGAAAATGCCAATGAAAAAAATATTTAAAGAAAAGCAATATCAAATAAAAGTGACGATTCGTTCAAAGGTTGTTTAGGCTTAACTAAAGAGAACTTGGGGCTACGCCAGGGAAATGTGGAAGATGAAAAACTGTATCACAGCTGGATGAAAAAACAAACAAAGGGTCTTTTTGCCAAGTGCACACAAAACAGAGTCTAAAGAGAAACAGGAAAAATGTTTAAAACTTTAAAGGAAGTAAAATCTAATTATGATGTCCCTCACCCATTCTTCTTACAAGTGAGAATACTTTTTAAATTCCCTTATTCTGAGTTTATTGGTGGAAAAAAAATTTATATCATGAATTACACTTCCCTGTCATTCGTAGAAATCAAGTAACTGAAGAGCCACTTTCTGCAGGAAAGAGAGGAGCTGTCTGAATCTCCTTAGCTCAAGTTACCTTTTTCCTAACTTGGATTTTAAAAATAGTTAACTGTAAATATGCCCTATGACACACATACACTTTCAAAAGATGAACTCCAACTGCTAGGGGGGTAAATCTAGGAAACATAAGCATATTCTGTATTTCTCCCAGGGATTTGAGTGAAGGAAAACGGAAAGAAAAGTGACAAAAGCAATTAGGACGATTTGGACATTAAATCTCTCACCTCTGCGCTGACAGTAGCACAGAAAGAGCTCTTTTATCCAGGAGCCAGATCTTGGTGTCCAATGCCACACTCCAGTAAAAGAACCGGGACGCCTTGGAGAAATGGCTGGTGCAGGACTGGGGCAAGGAAGCTGTAACATGAGCCTGAAGCATCTTGTAGTGCCAGCAAGTGAGGAAGTGCTCAAAAAACAACAACAAACCAATGGGAGCACAGTAAAAGGACCGGGGAGCCAAGTGAAAGAAGTGCCATTGGCCAAAGCTGGAACAATCTCCGCAAGAAAACAAATGACACAGTCCTGGATTACAACCATAAATCTGCGAGTCCACACTGATATAAATCATCACTAAATCAATAAATGGGAGAAGAGACAAATCTCCTGGATAGAAAAAGTCCAAACAATTTATGTAGACACTACCTCTCAAGGAGGTAGAGTTTGGCTCCCCACCACCGAAGTGTGGGCTGCACTTTTATGGAAAGCTAGAGCCAAAAAGCAACCTTACGGGCAGAACCCTGGCAAACTCCGTACCGGCCGCCACCAGGTGATCCAGGTGAACACCATCATGGTAATGTGCCCCGATGCGACCAGAGGGCATTTCACCTCTGTGGTCGTCTGCCCAAACCCCTAACTCCAATCAAACCTTGATAGAAACACCAGACAAACCTGAACTGAGGAACAGTCTAAAAAATACCTGACTGGTACTCTTTAAAACTGTTGAAGTCATCAAAAACAGCCAAGTCTGAGAAACAGCAACAGCCAAGAAGCAGCTGAGGAGACATGATGACTAAATGTAATGTGGTGTCCTGGATGGGATCCAGGAAGAGGAAAAGAGCATTAGGGGAAAATGAATGAAATCTGAAGAAAGTACAGCGGTTAGTAAATAATGTGTCAACACTGGTTCATTAGTTGTGACAAATGTACATAGTAATGTAAAACTTCACTATAGTAGAAACTGGGCACAGGATATATGGAAATTTTCTGTACTATCTTTGCAATTGTCTCTAAATCTAAACTATTCTAAAATTAAAAGTTTATTTTAAAATTAATTAATTTAATTACATTATATGGAATAGTTCCATGACAATGGTGAATAAATTTGGTGCTACTGTACAAGTATTAAAGACTAAGAGCCAGGACTAAATGAAAAATATAACATTAATTATAAAATTAAGCAATTTTTTTAATCAATATAACTAATGATTGTGGCTGTAAAAAAAATGTAAGTGGTAGGTGAAGAAATGCCATTTAAAATCGGCCCTTCCAAAACTGGGATATGTGTCAGATTTCTACCTACATTTCTAATCAGCTGTACAATTTGTTACACAGTAATAAAAAATTTTCATTCTAACAGTATAATTGCTACCTTTAGGTACTGAGTACTGACCATCTGCCAGGCACTATGCTAAATATCATATATAATCTCACTGAATCCTCGCCAGAGCTTTATGGCACCATTTTAGGAAAGGATTTTTGCCCAGAAGGTCAATTCTCATTGATTATGAGAGGTATTCATTATCAAACACCTATTACATACTAGGCACTCAATTAGGCACTTTACAAATGTCATCCAATGTAATCTTCCCAATGACCCCCGCAGGTACTATCACAATCACTGTGTTTCAGAACAGGAAGAGTTGTAAAGGGAACTTGTCCGCTCCACTGGAAAGTGTCCGGGCCAGAACTGGAGTCCTGGTGTCACCCCAAGGCCCAGGCCCTCCCACCCTCGGCCCACCACTTGCTCTCAGGTCACTGGGATGCCTGTCCTTTCCCAGTGGGAGGCACGCAGGACTGCCCCCCCTGTGGAAAGACGTCCCTACGGGCTGGAGAAAAAGCTTGGGGGACAGTTCAGAGATCTAGGTCTCTGGTCAGCTCTAGGGCTCACATCTTTGGTGAAACCTTTTAACCACTCTAAGTCTAAATTTCCTCACCTATAAATGAAGGTGTTAGCCTGGATGAGACCCTGAATCTAAACTCAGGGTCTAGGGAGACATAGCTTGGCTACAATTTAAGAAAGGAAAAAAAGTGAGGATTTTGCTTCGCCCACTTATTTCTGCATATCCAATCAAAGATCTAATCCAAATCCTCTCTCGTTTAGGTAACTACTCACCTCCCCACCAAGGATAAGAACAACGCCCTGCCTTCGCTGGAACGCCAATTCACTGTTCCTCCAAGAGAGCATTTATCAGATCAGGCTCCTGGTGTTTCTGTTCATTTCATGTAAATCTGTGTGTTTATGTCTAAAAAAGAGCATAAACTACCCCTAGAGTAATTCTGAATTAACAATTAACTTTTTTCATTGAGAACAGGATTTTGTCTAGGAGATGAGATAGAAGACGCTATCAAATCTTTAAATGTATGTTATTTTATTTTATTCACTTTCGGTTTTTTTGTTTCTTGGATCACTATTCTAACGATTTATTTATTTACAGTTGAAAAGAAGCCTGGAGAATAGGGAGGAAGATAACAAAGAAGACTTTAAAGAAGGAACATTTAAACAGAGACTCAAAGCTCTGAAGGCACTGACTGGAAGAGGGAAGGGAAAAGTGGCTGAGACAGAAGGAACAGCACGTGGAAAGGATCTGAGACAGAAGAGCACACGACTCATCTGAGAAACTGAAAGGCCATGATGGCCCAGAGCGGAGCGGGCAGAGTGAGCGAGAGCACCCAAAGGAGCGGGCAGTGGTCCGATGACCATGATGGCCCAGAGCGGAGCGGGCAGAGTGAGCAAGAGCACCCAAAGGAGCGGGCGGTGGTCCGATGACGCCGTGCCCTTCGTCCTGACAGGAAGGTGCCGCTATGAAGGGCACGAGGCAGGGGACGGGCAGGAGTGGACCTGCCTTTCTCGTCAAAGCCTCTACCACATCACCTTACCCCAACAGACAGGCACACAGACATACACAACTTTCTAACACTACTTTGACTTCTTCACACACTAGACTTCTCAACTATTTGGTCTTGAAGTCACCCTAGACAGCTATTCTGTCTACACCACTCCAATAAACAAGACCAATTCACCTGCCGGGACCCAAAAGAGAAAGAGAATTGTTCACTTGAGAGGAACAACACCTTTACAAATTATGAAATCCTTAAAAATGGCAAGTTGACATCTACAAACTAAAACACTACCCAACATCAAAGATGTAGTTGAAGATACACACACAAATAAAGTTTGTCCCATGAAAAATATAACTTTCTTCTAATTAAAAACTACATAAACTGGGAAAAATCTTAAATGGATCTTAAAAAATTTTAGAAGAAAAAATAAAAGCTCCTGTGCTTAATTTTATGGTTTTCTTCGCTAAGAAGAACATAATTGGTAATCGTAGTTGAATAAATAAGGCCAATGTGAAATTTACTGGAATTGTGAAGCCTAAAATCCTGTGTTTTCCAAATATAAACCCCACATACAGTTTCAGAAAAGAAATGTCTCACAGTATATAATTAAATGCCACATGTACAAAATATAGGGAATGTAAAAAATAGTTAAAGTATCAAAACTATATTACTTTATACCTCAATCTTGGGCACTACGAGTGCCCTGAAACTGAATACAAATTTTTATCACGTACATTTTTCAGAGTTAAGAATCCATAGTTTTCAACAGATTCTCAAATGCAGTTTACAAACCAAAAAAGGTTAAGCAGCACTGACTTAGACAATATTTACCAGACATTTAGGAGGGTTCTTTCCAAAATACCTCGTCCCAACATACATTAGACACTCAAAGGATAAAAGCGTCAGATGCACAGCTTATTCAAAATCGATGCCCCAGCTAAAAGGCTGCTTCCACTCCACACGGAACAGAGACAACCCCCTTCCCAACCAGGTACACTAGCTTTACAAGAAACTGACTTAAAAATCACATAAATTTCAAGAAGTTAACCAAATAAGAGTAATTTTCAATCTTTTGTAATACGCTGTTGTTTCATGTTTGGAATGACACTAACCTCCACACTCTCCACACTTTAATTAAAGTGGTTAATTAAAACAAACTAACCATAACTTAGTCACATGGTTAATTTAAATGATTCATAATCAAGGCTTTCGCTAAATTCAATAAAGGCAAAACCTTCTAGAGAAAAAGGTTTTAAGTAAACATGGACACAACGGTTTGGTGAATGAGCGAAAAGGAGATATATCTTTCATAGCTTACAGTATATGTCAGCTATACCATTTTTCCATAAAATACCATAGCAAATGTATTTTATGGTATTTTTTTAGAAAATGGGCCTGACATCATTTTCCCTTAATTTCGTGTGTTGGACTTTCTAGCTTTAAAGAAATGGAAGAAAATTTAAAGGAAATTATTTAGGGGCAGGCCCGGTGGCACACTGGTCAAGTTCACACCTTCTACTTTGGTGGCCCGGGGTTCACTGGTTCAGATCCTGGGTGTGGACCTATGTACTGCTTGTCAAGCCACGCTGTGGCAGGCGTCCCACATACAAAGTAGAGGAAGATGGGCACAGATGTTAGCTCAGGGCCAGTCTTCCTCAGCAAAAAGAGGAGGACTGGCAGCAGTTAGCTCAGGGCTAATGTTCCTCAAAAAAAAAAAAAAGTTAAGCTGGAGAAAAAAAATTGTCCTTAATGTATAAAAGCTTTATTTAAAACTGACAAGAAAAACCCTAAGATATCAAGAGGAAAATAAGCAAAGAATACAAAAAGGTAATTCACAAAATATATTTAAATAGCAATAAAACATGAAAATGGTTCCACCTATGCTAGTAACCAGACACTCAAATTAGAACAAGATAACTCTCTCTGGCCTATTTCATTAGCAAAGACTTTCTGTAACACTCAAAGCCAGAAAGAGTATAGTAAGGTAAGCGCTATTCACAGCCTCTACATTTTGTACAATCTTTCCAGAAGGAAAAGTTTAATATTAGATAGTAAAACTCTTAAAAGTGTTCAAACTCCTCTTGAATTCTATGTTGAGGAAATGATTTTACAAAAGTAGACAGAGCTGTGCACCAAGAGGTCCACAGCAGTGCCATCCGAACAGTGAGAACCTGGGAATAACTTAAGTCATCCACAATACAACCACAAAACCGAGTACGATGCAGCACTGAAAAAGGACGTTTTCATATTTTTACTAACCCGGCAAATGCTCACAATATGTTCAGATAATATTTCATGCCCACCTTAGCCTAAAATGACCTTTTCTCACCCCTGTATAATTTACTTAGCAATTAATCCTTCTTGTGATATCTCATATTGATATAATAAACTATTATTTAAATCCTTCACCACGTCCTTTCACATTTATGCCTGAGGAGACAGCATAAGAAATAGAGATTCATAGACTCTGAAGTATAACAAACATACCTGAGTCCTGGCTGCACGTATTCTAAACTAACACACTTCTTAAAGATTCACTCTCCTCATTTGAAAATGCCCATCTATTTTACAAGTTCATTGTAATCTTTACAGAAAACATATTACACCACTTGAATG